TATTTTAATTTTGTAAATTACTTAGAAGATTTATTATCATGTGTGAACATGATGTTGTCCTGGCTAGAGATCTGTAGTACCTCCAACAAAGTGAAGCTATATAATAAAAAATATGCGATAGTATCAGTTATTATTTAAACAGATTAATCTCTTCGCGCAACTTGAGAAACTATAATTTCAAAAGCTTTTATTTAAAATAAACGCGATTTTAATGCGATTTTCACGCGATTTTATTGATATGCGTTTTAAAACTGGCATGAAAGATGTGTTGCTAAATATAATGATTGATCCATATCAACCCAATGCTATATAGTTCATTTTGAAATGCCTGGCTTTCAAAATATAAACAGATTGCTGTTTCAATATCCACAAAATATCCACAGTGTCTGAGAATTAGTTTGCTTATAAAAGTTAATTTAACCATCCCTTAACAGACTTCTCTGTCTGTTAAGTAATGGTTAAACTAACTTTATTTAGGTAGTGCTACTTCTAGTATTTAAACAATTGATTCTTCTTAAAAGTTTTTAAAGTCTAGAGTTATTAAATTTTGTTATATTCCTGCTGCTATTGAATTTGATATTTGTTATGGGGATTCTGCACTTTAGATTCTGTTTTAGCTAAGTCTTTTCAGCGTCAATTGGAATCTCCAAAACCGCAGTGGATTTTCTATTTGTTTAAGAGGTACTTGGTGAAAACCGCAAGGGGAAAAAAATCGTCTACAAGCGGAACTCTAAAGTGCAGAACTCCCGTTCTTGCAGTATTCTGACCAATTGCTTCATGAATTTCTTGGGCTACTGAACATTGGTATACTCCCATGTGTATTCGTCTTACAAAGTATGTTCACACATGATAAATTGAAATTCGTGAAAGGATTTCAATTTTATTATTATTATTACTATTATTTTATGCATAAGTAAGATTTCAAATTATTTTATATTTAGAAAGGTACTTCTTTTCCTTGTTAAGAATATAATTATAGTTTGGACTCTTCGATATTATATATTTTTCGAATTTGATAGTAAAATTCCAAATCATCCTTTAGGTTAAAATTTTTAGTAAACTGATGACTGATGTCTATTAAGAACAATTTATGAAATCTGCTCTAAGATAACAAATTCCGATAAATAATGTAGCATAAAGAATAAATTTTAAATTTTATACATATGAACTTTGGTACCGATAAAAAAGGAATATTATGTAATTAATATTATATATTTGTATTCCTTTTCAACTAAAAAATATATATTTTGACGATCAAATACTATTTTGTGAAGTAAAAATATTGCCTTCTCTAGTGATTACAATGAATTTGTAGCATATTCAGTGTGGCTCAGGGAACAACTTAAAAGGATTATTAATGTACTACTACTCTGATGAAAAAGGGGGAGATGAAAAAATCTAGATACATTTTTAGCTGAATATTTTATGCTGCACGTGAACAAGACATTTTCGCAACTAATCCAATTAAAACAAGTTGGTGAAATATTTATCTGTATATTATTTTTAATTAAGCTAATTTGAGTCCAATAAGTAATCTTCTACTGAACGCCGTGACTCTTTCCTATGCTTAAATGGGCATACCAATCATCAAGAATCGATTCCCAACTATGCATTTCAAATCACTGTTTAAAAAAAAAAATCAATTTAGTGTTCAATTGTAATAATATAGGGCCTGAATGGCCGAGTGATTAGCGCTCTGGCGCTCGGTACCACAGGTTTCGGGTTCGAGTCCCAACGGTGCCATGGTTGTTTGTAATGGTTCGGAATCCACTTTAAAAAGTAGGTCCTGGTCTAATAAGATCGTAGAGCGTTGCGGGGGCATTGTTACTCCGCGTCCGTAGCTTATCTTCAAGTGACACGCGCCCCCTGGGTAATGCAAAGTGAGTACGTCTGTGCAGCACTTGCCTTAAGGCATCCAAGACGTCCATGTCTGTGTTTGCCAGCTGCATTAAAAAGGAAAAAAAATTGTAATTATATGCGTCATTTTGTTATTTCCCATATGACACTCAAATACGGGACAGTTAGCCCTGAAAGTCCAACTAAAATTTAAAAAATTCGATTCGAAAAATGATCAGGGCGGGCCGCAGGTAGACCATCACTGATCTAAATGGTGCTGTCTATGAAGTTGGATAATAAACAACACCATAAATCATGGTAAAGTATTAACAAATTGATGCTATTATACTACTGTAACAGAAGTCTACTAAACAGTCCATATATGGGTTAATATTATTGTATGCAGTATATCAAATTCGATGCGATTATCTTGAAGTAACGTCAACATTGGCACTTTACCTTTGAAATATAAGTTTATCAGTCTTCATACTTAATTTTCATATTGTTAATTGTACACTCAAACCAGTTTTTATGTGGTGCTTTTTGAAAGAGTTTTTTTTTTTTTTTTTTTTTTTTTTTTTTTTTTTTTTTTTGCGACATATAGAAAAAAATTATATCAAATGAATATTATGAATAAAAATTAATTAAAAAAACAAAAAACAACAACTAGTTGTCAAAATAACATGTAAATTTAAAAAAGTTCGACAGATACCCCCTACCCCACCCGCTGATATTATGTCATACCATTATCACAAATGTTATTAGATTTGATGTAATGCTACATAGTAAGAGTTGGGCGTAGGGCCAACAACCCTACCCCTTAAAAAGAAAACATCTCATGTTTCCGAATTTGTCAGTAACCAGACAGCCTTGCTCCACCACGGGGCTGTTGCTCCCTTGAAGAGTAAAATAGATATAACATTCCTATCTGTGGATTTGTTTTTCAAATGTAGGAAATTTTAATGGTCTAATGAGCGAGTGACTAGCTGTCTGGCGTCGGTACCACAAGTTTGGGGTTCGAGTGCCTGTATTATGGATGTTTATAATGGTTTGGAATTCACTTTAAACCGTAGGTCCCGGACTAATATGACTGTTGCGCTTAGGAGTGACAACCCTATCCCGCAAAAAGGGAAACATCTCCTGTCTCGAAATCTTAAGGCCTTGGCCCACCATGGGGCTGTTGCACCAATCGACAAGGTTTGATTTGCCGCTCTACGATCATTATTTTGCACATTTCGGGATAATTAGACCGGGACCTACAGCTTAACGGAGATTCCGAACCATTAAGAAACATCCATGCCACTGTCAGGATTCGAACCTCTAGCCTGTTGCCAGTGAAGAAGGAAACTTTAAATACGGATGTAAATGAAAGAGGAATTAAAGTCTTACAATTTAAATGCCATAGAATTATTAAAGACACGAAAAAAAAAGCAATTGTAATTTATTCTGGATTAAAAATTATGATTTCGAACGAGGAATAAATAACCTGTTTGTGAAAAATTCTTACGTTTGCTTTTATAGCATATTTGATTTCAACAACAACGATAAAAAATTAAAATTTTCTTTTTTTATAAAGAAATTAATTGCCATGAAACCTCTGTGAGAATCGAATATTTGAACTTGAAACTCAACTAGATGGTCACTTCATCTGGAGTTCATTGTTCGAGAAAATAATTGGAGGAAATTGGTCTGATAAGAATTAACTACAGCTATTTTCTAATTCAAATGTATAATTGTAGTCTCTTGCGTGTGCTTCTTTGAATAGAAATACATTATCTATGAGCTAATTTATTTTATACAGGTCGTAGTACTACTGATAATTGAAATTACAAAGATGATGATAAAATTATAAATAATTTCATTTGAAATGATGCATTCTTTTTTTTTTTTTTTTTTTATGAATCAATTTTAACTTGGAATCTCAATTTAAAAATTTCTGTAGTGGGATTGTTAATAACGCTAATTTTATTATACAATATAAGAGCTTATCATATACAATCAGTCACAAAAATCATATATACATCCTTTTACAAATGTAATTATGAAATTTTTATGTAATTATAAAAATTGAAAAGCTTTTTTTATAATGAAATACAAATTGTGTTCGCCTAAATTTACGTAAAAAAACGAAACACTTTAAACTAAAGTAAAAATAATTCATGTATGGAAATTTCCATAACCAAAAAGTGTACATATGCTTCAAAGAAAATGAAAAATTTGTCTAACTTATGCAATTGTTGTTGTTGTCGTGTCCCTCACGGAAGGAGGGAAGAGGGGTGCAGCTTCTGTTTTGATGGAGCACCCGTAGGTAGATGTCTGACTTCTGCTCCGTGACGTTCTTACAGTCATAGGTGACCGGGACCTACGGCTTAAAATGGATTCTGATCCACTACAAACACCCATGGCACCGCCGGGACACGAACCCGAAAAATGAACTTATGCAATTGAAAATAATTTATTATCTTGTAATTTAGGATTGGGAATCAATGACGGCTTGTAATATTCTAGTCCTTGAAGCAAATAAAATTTTGTATGGTGTCTGTCATAATTTCAAACACGCTTGAAACCGTTCATTTTTAAGGAACATTTATCTCGGGCACTGTATTCTCTGAAATTCTTCCCATATGTGTTTGATAGGATTCAAATCTATTTACTGAAGAGAGTTATGGAATTATGCAGGCAATTTTTAAAGGAGCCATTCTTTCACAATCTTCGCTATGTGTTTTTTCTAATTTAGTATTAATTTAGTAGTAAGTATTTCCTTAATTTAATAATTTCTTAAATTAAGATCCACTGGTTTCAAAGTTATGAACTCTAGACAAATGCCTGCATTTTATCTTGCAATATCTTCAAGTATTTGAAACGATCAATTGTTGTTGTTTGTTGTTGTTTCTTATCCCACTTGGCTGTCCAAGCCCACGAGCCCATACGTACTCATGATTGAAGGGGAAGGAAGCAGATTCTGTTGTGATGGAGCACCCGTAGGTAGAAGTCTGGCTCCGTGACACTCTTACAGTCATAGGAGACTGGGACCTACGGCTTAAAGTGGATTCCGAACCACTACAAACATCCATGGCACCGCCGGGATTCGAACCCGAAACCTGTGGCACCGAGCGCCAGAGTGCTAGACACTCGGCCATTCAGGTCCCAAATTTGTGAATGCCAACGGCACGCGGTGTTCCCAGGCGGTCATCCACCCAAGTACAGCGCCCAATGCCACACAAGTACTGATCGCGCCCAATGATGCTTGACTTCGGTGATCTAACGACCGGTATATTCAGCATGGTATGGCCGACGATCAATCGTACCTCCAATGAAGGTTATTTTCCTACCACCAACAGTCGGCATTGACACCTAAACCATGTCCTCCAAACCATAACCATACCATGTCACCCCAACCATGTCCTCCACCATGTTTCACTATTGGAATGATATTTATAAGTTTCCATTTTCGTTTCACCCTGTCAAATTTTGCCATGTCCATCACTTCTGAAAACATTATAATTACTCTGCGTTTTTCTTTGATTTGCTCTGAATAGGAATAGTTTTGTTCGCGAAACTCTGCCATGAAATCCTTCAAATCGGAGAATTCTATAAACTGTTTCCGCATTTATCTGCAGCAATATTTTCCATTAATTGAGAAGCGGACAATTTCGGATTAAACCTCACTTACCGCATTTCTACGCGTCCATCCATCATTCAAAATCCTTGGCCTTGCATTGCGAGGTTTGTTAAAAATATTGTCCGTAATACGTTTCGTAATTCCTTATAAAGGTTCGGACAGTAGACCAACAACAATTCTTTCCAACAATATTTCCAAGATTTTGTTTTATTTCTTCTTAACATAATTATTCAAATGTCAACTCTAGTTTCCTGTCTTGAAGCCATTTTAACTGGAACAGTAACAACACAAATTGCATACAGCATACTTAAGATTCTCTTTTTAATAACCACATGTAATGTTTTTACATTCCTTCTTAAATTAGAGTGTTATACAAAAGCACATTCTGTATGTAGATTTTTGTGTTGGTAATTTTAGGTAGGTAATTAGAGAGGTAATTTTTTTTATCACTTACTTCCGTAAAATATTGTTTAATTTATAAAATTTAGGTTGCCATAAAATTAATTTTTTAAATATTTATGATTAGTTAAATTTCGTTGTTTTAATAAGTGTATGTTGACTTTTGTGACCGAGTGCAACTTCTTATATCAGATTTGATCATAAAGATTATTATTCATAACCTGTTTTTATTAAAAAAGTTTATATTGTAATATATATGTTTATATTAAAGAAGGAAAAGGCTTAAAAAATTGAATTCAAATGTTTAAAAATACCTACTGAATGTTATAATATCATCTGATTAAAATATTTAATTCATAATTCATAATGTATATATTTTTGGGAGATACCTAACGTTTTAATTTCTTCCATAATTTCCACTTAATTAATTCTTCATTGATAATTCCATCACGAATAAAATATCGTGACAGTCGTTTACAGTGTAATTAAAATTATTGATACAGTCATTTGTTTTTCGAAATGTTTGCTAAATTTTCCAAACTTTGTGTTTGTACTACTATTGTTTTTTGATATATTATCTATTTTCTAATATAAGCCGAGAATGCGTTTTTTCTTCATAAATTTATCCAAAGTTCACAACTCGTATATAAGCCGAAATGAAATAAAAGGTTTTGGAAAGCTCAAAAGGTAATAAATTGTATAAAATAATCTCTATATTTTGTAAATTGTTTCTATTCGTTGAATATTTTGGTATTACTTTAATTGTCTATATATTTATAATTAAGTTTAAGTTATTTTTATATATTAATATTTCTAAATGGAAAAAGAAAATCGGTTCTGTATTTTTCCTCGCATAAATTCAGAAGAACAAGTTGCGCAGTGCTTTTGAGTGAGAAGGAAGATTGCTTTTAATTTCACTTTAAAATATGTTAAATATAAAAGTCTAAGATACCAAATGCTTTAAAATAGAACTGATTTTACCGATAAGCCTAGAATTCAGCACCTTCTTGTAGGAGTTAATACAATATGTATATGCTAGCAGCAATTAATCATTCCTTATCTTTTATTTGACCAAGATATGTGATCTAGATTTAGAAAAAGATGGATCTAGAAATTCAATCTTTGGATGCCACAAAGGACCTAACCTGTTTCTCTAAACAAAAAAACCTGTTTCTAAACCTGTTTCTCGATCCTTCAGAATTGTTTCCTTTTCGATTGTCTATTTTTTCATTATTTTTGGACAGTATAAATTATCAGACATGTATATAACCTGATATAGAAACACTACGTAATGTAGAAATCTTTAGATATGATATCTCGTATTCTTCACTTTGTCTTTTTTTAGACGACCAAATACATAAAACAACAAACAAGATATTTTTATCATAAAATACATTTCCCTTCAAAGTCCCTCTAGTCGTAAACAAACTTATTACTTCTCTGTTCTGTAGGCTCCGCAGCATATATTAGTTATTACGTCAGGCGCTTGCTGCGCCCTCTATCGTTGACTATAGAATCTATATAAATTATCTTACATTCTGGCATCTTGACTAGGCGATTGCCCTCAATTGTTACTTAAACTTTTAGCACACGTGTCCTAGAGAAACAAAGCCAATAAAAAAATCATTAAGTTACAGTGCCAAAATAGACAAACAAAATATGCATACAACACATATCCTAAACATCTAACATTTTTGTAGACACCAGTAAACATTTTAAATGTAAACAGATAACAACATAAAAAAATCAGTAAATAAAAAATAAACCAAATAAATTGAATGTAAAGAAATTAGTTAAATGTGAATCAGATCATTTATAATCAATTAGTTACCATTTTCCGTAGAAAATTGTCATTGTACAGGTACGGTTTGGATTACATTTCTTGAATTTTACATAAGTTTAAGTTAAGTTCTTGGTCTGAAAATTCACTAGGTTCATCTGATGAGTCCTCTCTATTAGAATCAAGTTGGTTCGACTGCGCCTTTAACAAGCTGCATCAGTAGTATGAGAGTGTCCTTTGGTTTAGTTGAGTGACTCTGTAGTTTTCTTCTGGTATCAGTTATAATTATCCTATCTTATCTTTGTTATAATTAGCCTATCAGTTATAATTAAAGGACTTCGATATTTTGGTTGGGTTTTTGTAGGCTCTCCTATCAGTATCGGAGCCGTTTTCATAACCACAATTTGTACTAACTTATAAGTGTTAGTTCTGCATTTCTCTTGTCATAAGCATACTTATTCTGTAAATCTTCTATTCACTCGCGAGTAGAGGTTTGAATCTCTGTAGGATCAGTTCATACTTCAGCACTATCATTAGCTTGTTTTCGTAAAATTCCGTCTTTAAATTCCGGAACTCTTGCAATAATTTGTTTAATATCATAGGGTAACAAATTAACCAAATGACTAACTCATTTCTCAGGTCTCAAATTTAAACGTTTCATTTGTCATTCAAATAAACGGTTTGAAACTGTGGTAAAAACTGATGTCTCCATTCCCTATTTCATATGGTTGCATTATTTTAGTAATCAATTATTAGTAATCAATTAGAAATTTCAAATTCATTTCTATTTTCGCTTGATACTTTACTTTTTCTTATTCTCAATTTTTCTAATTCGAATTGTCTTTCCAATTCAAGCTCCTTAAGTTTACTTGTATGTAGCAATGATCGTTTTTAATAAATCATGCGTGAATTACTTATCACAATCCTTATTTTTCACAATTAAATCTTTAATTTTGACGGCAACTGAGTTATCGAGTAATTTTATATTTAATTTTTCATGGTACATATCTTCTTAAATCATTCAGCCTTGACCCAGAGTTCCACTTGCATATGTTTTCATCCCATTTCTGAAATTTATTACGTCTATTTTTCACTTTGTCCTCTTTTAGATGAGCAAACAGACAGAACAACAAATAAATACTTTTATTATAAAATACATTTCCCATCGAAGACTTACCGCTCTCGTCGTAAACATTCTTAGTAGTTCTCTATTCTGTTGGTCCCATAACATATGTCAGCTATTAAGACACGGCTTGCTGCGCCAGCTATCGTTGACGAGAGAATATATTAAAATTAGCTTACAGATATTACAGTCGTTTGTTTTAAATTAAAACTGATGATTTTACACAATGCAAAAGAAAGTTAATTACTTCTGTGTTTTGTCTAATCTTGTATTGCATGCCTTACAATGTAAGTTTTATTCTTTTATTTTTAATACTTTTTAATGATTTTATAAAATATTGTAATCAATATTTCTTGTTTTATTAAATCGCAAAATACCTATAATGAAATTTATCAAAATTCAAGATATTATGTGAAAGAATATTTGTTATACTAGCAAAATTAATAGATCAGTAATTGTTTATATAATCTTATATAATATTAAAAGTACAACAAATTAAACTAAAATTAAGTCCATTAAATAATGTAAGTTTTGCTATAAATTAAATAGTGGTAATTAAATAGAACAATAAATATTAAAAAATATTTTCAAAATCACTTCAACATTTTATTAAAAAATTGCTTGTAAATAAAAACGAATTTATTCCGAATAATTGTTAAATCAAATTAAAATATTTCAATCTATTTAGCTCTAGCGATTTACTGTTTGTTCACTCATAAATATAAGAAATGGTTTAGTATTATAAAATTTGTTTTAGATTATATAATTCTTAATTAAACTGAAATAAATTAATTGTATTCTAATCTTAATCGGATAAAATAATAACAATATGTAAATTACTTTAAAATTATGATTTTAAAACCAAACTAGAACTTACCAAAAACTCAATGTTTTATACGAGTGAAAAAAAATAGATAATTTGGAAAACATATTTTCTGACGTATAAGGAAAAAGTTTGAA